TTTTTTTTTTTTTTCTGCTGTAATTGTCATTGTTGTTTAGCTGGCCTGGGCCTGGTTCAAACCCACCAACCCCGGTGTATGTGGCTAGTGCCCTAACCACTGAACTACAGGCGCTGAGCCTAGAATTTAAGAATTTACACTGATATTCACTGTTCAAAGAAAATCCATTTATTGTATCTTGCCTAGAGAAGTGGAGATGGGCAGAAAATCAGAGGTAGAAACTCTGAATGCCTGGGGCAGGCTGTGGGGCTCCAGGCCTCTCTTTTTAAGTCCTGTCTTTTCTTTTCCAGTGTTCCTTCTATACCGATAATATCTCCCTGTTTGTCTCTTTTCCTTGTATGTTCCTATCTCTGTTTTATTCTGAGGCAGAATCTAAATTGGTAGTATCATTATTTGACATCATTTTACATATGAATAGTTTTATGATTTGGACATGTGAATACCAGAAAATGTTTAAAATAAATCTTTCTTTTTTCCTTTAAAACAGAAAAACTCAGACATTTTGTCAAGTGTGGAAGGTAAAGCTGTGATCCGTCAGTATAACAAGATTGCCTATGTGCTGGTGGAATTCGAGGTGATCTATCACACAGCCTGGGTCAAGGAGATTACCCAGTTACATTATGGTGCGTGTCAGACTGCACAGTGAGACTCGGAGTAGGGTTAGGTGGTTTGGAATGAATTTGTGTTTCTGGGGGATTTTTTCAATCTTTTCACAGAATCTTAGGATAGTTAAGATTTAGGGATGATATAATGGTTTATTTATTTACAGTTGTTAATAATTTTCTGATTTTATAAGCAAGGATTGTCATGACCTTAAAGTTGATATACTTAAGTTAGGACCTTCTACTGAAAAACAGTATTTGAAAGTAAAAATATTTTTATAGGTGTTTCTCTGTAGATTTATAGAGGTTTTCATATTCCATTTTATCATGTTGTAGATTCAACCTCAGTCCCAGTCTGGGGAAAAAGAATTGCAGCCCATTCTCTGCCCCCCCACCCCCTCCCCCTGTCCCTTTCTCCCTCCTTCCTTTCTTTTTCTATTGCTGAATTTAATATCAGTTTTAATTTCAGCTCCAGCCAATTAAGAGTGTTAGATGTCAGGGGTCATTGCACACGAAGCCCAAGCTAGTTTGAAAGCCAACTGGGAAAAACTCTGTTGAAAATAAATAACTCAGCCAGTTTAAAACATAATGTTTGAGAATGCCTGAGAAGGCTTACGTTAATTCAGGCTGAGTAAACTGAGAAAATGTACCTCTCTCTGGCCTCTTCAGAAGGCTTTTAGTAACTTTAAACAAAGGTACATATGCAAAATATAAAAATGCCAAAGTTGGGGTTGAAAGAATCCCAAGTTTCCTGTGAAGATTGGATAGAGAAAGAGGCTGGGTAAATAAATTGTAGGGGGTTGTTAACAGACCAAACAGCCCATGGTGTATTTAGAAAGGGGGAGGGAGAAACTAGTTCTATCCCCAAGGGGAAGTAAACCAGGTTTGCTAATTTACCTACATATCAAATGTTCAAAGAGTTTAACCTTCCCAGTTGTGGACTGTCTAGTGCATAGGCCTAGCCAGGCCTTTCTGCGCTGGGCTCTTTTCATCTTCTATGGACTTTCTCCTGAATACCACCTCTGAGAGGTGTGCCCTAGGACAAGTCAACCTATCTACCTCCCACAGTTAGGGCTGTGTCTGAGTCTCTCTGGGGAGGGGATCTATTTTGCCAAGGCTTTGGGCAGAGTTAAGTGTGAGGCAGGGGGTGGTTCTTAGCCATTATCCAGCCATGTTGGTCATCTGGGAGGTTGTTGTTTTTGGGTGGACAAAATTATTGGTCAGTTCAGGTTCCTGCTTTGTTTCATTTTAACCTTAAGTTCTTAGCTATCACTTCAACCGTCAACTCTTATCCCTGACCTTGGTAGAACCTTTACCGCATCCCCTGGTAGAAAGATTTCTCCCTCCCAAACCAGGTCTCCACTTCAGCAGAGCATAGATTTATAGGTCCAGGAAGCACAAATTCTGTGAGTGGGAAGCACAAGTTCTGTGCATGAGTTATTGGGAATGACAGTGAGAGGGGTCACTCCCGCTCCAGTGTCTTGGCATTAGATTAGTGCTGTTGATGACACAGCACTTACATATAGGCCATGGATTCACAGCATCCCTGCATTCTAGAGGACAGCCCTCAACCTCTACAGGGTGCTATCCCCAAGTGATGCTGTAGTTAACCCTTTAAAAAGCCCCTTTTATCAGGTCAGCTATTTCTGGATGATATGGTATCTGGTAGGATCCTATAGATTCTTTTTTTTTTTTTTTTTTTGAGACAGAGTGTCTTTCCATTGAGTGTCATAGCTCATAGGGGAGTGAGATTCTGTCTCATAGCAGCTTCAAACTCTTGGGCTCAAGCGATCCTCTTGCCTCAGCCTCCACTGTACCTGGGACTACAGGTGCCTGCCGTGATATCCAGCTAGTTTTTCTATTTTTAGTAGAGATGGGGGTCTCACTTTTGCTCAGGCTGGTCTTGAACTCTTGAGCTCAGGCAATCCACTCGCCTCGGCCTCCCAGAGTGTTAGGATTATAGGTGTGAGCCATCAGGCCTGGCCAGAACCTTATGGATTCTAATGAAAGTCTGCTAATAGAGCAACGCTTTCTGAGGAACATCAAGGGAAGCTTAAAACTCACATTGCAGAAAAAAGAAAAGAGAATTTTTAACAACTGAAATATAGAGCACATACTGTTTTGCTTCTACCTACAATGCCAGGAACTTTTCTGTTTTTTTCTCCTGCTGGGTTTTCTACCCCCAGTCCTTCCCTCTTATTTGCTTGTTCAAAAACAAGCTCAATGAACACCTGTTGCTTAAAGCTCTTTCTTATTCCTCCTGGCAGAAAATAATGTGTTCCTTTTCCAGAGTTCTCCACACATTTATGCGCAGTTTTTCTCATGATGCTTGTTGCTTTATATATCTGTCTTATCTCTTATCTCCCTGCACATTCCAAGGATCCTCTGCATGTCTGTTTTATCTTGTATCCTTTTAATAATGACCATTGCTAACATTTTTATACAATGCTAACTGTGCTCCAGGCGCTGTTTAAGCACTCCACATGAACAAATTTCTTTAATCCTAATGGCAGCCCTTGGAGGAACAATTACTAACTTTGTTTTATAGATGAGGAAACGGGAGGCACTGGTGACGTGACTTGCCCAAGATCACAGTTAGTAAATGGCAGAGCCGGAAATCAAATTCAGGCAGTCAGGCTCCAGAATCCAGTCTCTTAACCCTTATACTGTACTACTTCTAAAAGTGCCAAGCATGGTGCCAAGCAAGCTAGGGGACTCTTAAAATATTGAAAAAATATGCCAGGCACGGTGGCTCACACCTGTAATCCTAGCACTCTGGGAGACCAATGCTGGTGGATTGTTTCAGTTTAGGAGTTCAAGACCAGCCTGACACAAGTGTAAGACCCCATCACTACTAAAAAATAGAAAAAACTAGCAGGATATCATGGCAGGTTCCTGTAGTCCCAGCTACTTGGGAGGCTGAAGCAAGATGATCACTTGAGCCCAAGAGTTTGAGGTTGCTATGAGCTGTGATGCCATGGCATTCTAACCAGGGCAATGGAGTGAGATTCTGTCTCAAAAAAAAAAAAATTAAAAAGAATCCAATAAGTAGAGATCAGGCAGTCTTGATATATATTAATACCAATTGTATCAATATTTCTGGGGAGAAAATCTTGAGAATATCGGTTGACACCTCTTGTGTGTGGGGTACATGTGCACACTGCCGTGGATTGTACCCAGGAGAAGTGGTCACGTGTAAAACAATATAAAGTTAAATTTTTTCGTGTGAGCGTGGGCTATCGGAAAAGAATTTCTCTAGAAGACTTCCTGTTACTCTATTTTTTTTTTTTTTTGAGACAGAGCCTCAAGCTATCCCCCTGGGTAGAATGCCGTGGCTTCACAGCAACCTCCAACTCCTGGGCTCAAGCGAGTTTCCTGCCTCAGCCTCCCAGGTAGCTGGGACCACAGGTGCCCAACACAACGCCTGGCTATTTTTTGGTTGCAGCTGTCGTTGTTGTTTGGCGGGTCTGGGTTGGATTTGAACCCTCCACCTTAGGTGTATGTGGCTGGCGCCTTAGCCACTTGAGCCACAGGTGCTGAGCCCTGTTACTCTATTGATGTGATAGGGCTTAGACTACTCTTTGATGTATAGGGCTTAGACTAATAATTGGGGACCTAGTGTCAGCCTCCTTTAGCTGGCTACTCTCTAAAGTTTCTCGGATGGTGATTCACTTGCAGTGGCATGGTCACTCTGGCCTGGTGCAGACTCGCTGGCCGTCATTATTGGTCTGTCTAGGTCATCTTGATGACCTTAATGTCCTTTCATACTAGCTTGGTACAGTTTTAGGGAAGACAGACTTTATTCAATAAATCTTCAAAAGAGGATAAATTATTTCTAATCCAATTTTAAAAGATTCCAAATGAAGTGAATAAATTTTTTAGTTTAAATTTAAATGTAACTTGTACCATCAAGAACCATATCAAGACTAGTTTTATCTGATGAGTAAAAGAGACCTAACTTCAAAGAGATATACAGACAATTTTATTTTACTAGACATTTGATGTGGCTGCATTGTGTGAAACAGTATGAAGCTTGGAAAAGTCTGTGATCATTTTGAAATTCTCATGGTAGTAGTGTTTGTTAGTATAAGATGTAACTCGAGCTAATACATACTAGTCTACAAGTGTTTCATTATTATGCATCACAAATAATTGTTAGGGTTAATAACTAATAATCTAAGGTTACCCAGTTGGATTATGTATTTCAATTCATAATAAAAAACCTATCTGAAAAATGTCTATTTATAGGATTGATTTTTATGTGAGGTATGGTGTAAAAAAAAATTCCAGGAGTTCACATCTCAATGGTGTTTAATAAATATTTCTTACTGATACTGAGCCTAGTTGAAAATTCAGCATGAGACTGATTCAGATGAACCTCCTTGAAAAGCTAGTTTGAGGTCCAGAAGGAAAAAGGGTTTGAAATGAGGTGTGTCATCTTTTGAAGTTCTGACCTTCTTCAGTTCTTCCCCAGGGGTCAAGTCCCAATCCATAAAAATAAACTAACGTCGTACTACAGATCTCTTTGACCTACTCAAAAAAGTATTGGAATTTACAGCACAAAGGCTGTCAGTCCTTGGTCAATTTTTATTTCTGGATCTGATGTTATGGTTCTGCAGGCACTCTGCATACATTAATCTAATTTTGGAGTACTGACTATGTGCCAGGTACTGTGCCTTAGCACCTGGGACATCCCAAACTATTGTTTTGTCCTTAAGAAGTTAGTAGAGATGGAAGCAGAGAGGAAATCTGGAATAAGTAGTGCCAACAATTGTTTGTTTGTTTGTAGCTTTACAAGCCACGCTTTTTGTGAGACATCCAGAAACAGGGAAGTTGCTGGTTAATTTTGATCCCAAAATTTTGGAAGTTGTTCGAGAAACTAAGTGCATGTTAAAAATGAAGTTGGATGTACCAGAAGATGCAAAGAGATTGCTAAAATTGGAAAGTAAATTGAAAGCAGACAAACTGTATTTGCAGGTAACATAGATTATGTTTTCTAATTGCTTTTGAAGGATTCCTTTTTTTTTTTTTTTTGTAAAGGAAAAATATATCCCTGCAGATATGCTGACTTGGCCTTGAGGGGAAATTTGTTACTTACGTTGATTCTTGGGCAGACATAAAATATTGACTTGCACACCAGAGAGAAGATGGGAGATGGGAAGCAGAAAGTGAGATTATTAGAAATCAGATCTAGAGTTCAGGATAATGACAGTGATGAAATAGCAAGTTAAAAAATTTTTTTTAATATTACAATTTCATAGATTAAGTGCATTAAATTTTATAATATATTTAATTCTAGGCTAATAGTAAAATATAAATTAATAAAGTGGGTTGACTATATTGCACAGTAGAAGGGATTCTCAATATTATGAGGCAAGATGAAACATCATTTAAATTCGAGTTCAATAGTGGGGCAAACTAAAATTTTAAAAAATGAAAATGACGGGCAAAAACTGACATTACAAAGTAGCACAGAAAAGATTAAAGCCAATTATATTCACATCCTAACACATAGTTTCTAAAATGGGAAACAAGGCTGGGCCTGTAATCCTAGCATTCTGAGGAGACAGGATCCCTGGAGCTCAGAGGTTTGAGACCAGCCTGAGCAAGAGTGAAACTCCGTCTCTACTAAAAATAGAAAAAATTAGCTGGGTATCATGGCAGCTGCATGTAGTCCCACTGCATGTAGCCTCACTCAGGAGGCTGAGACAGGAGGATTGCTTGAGCCCAGGAATTTGAGATTGCTGTGAGCCAGGGCACTCTACCCAGGGCGACAGAGTGAGACCCTGTCTCTTAAAAAGAAAAAAAGAAAATATGAAACAAGAGAAACATGAGAATGTTTTTAGAAAGCCAACTAAAACAGCAAGATGTATTAACTTCTAGGAAGGCTGTGGACATATATTTGGGAATGCAGGAAAATACATAAGTATAAGGACATTCTTTCCAGTACTACCAATAGTAGTAAAAGACTGAGCTCTAACCCCAGCAATAGAGAACTGAATCTATATGGTTAATAAGATAAATACACAGAAATTAATGGGATAGATGACTTGTTCAATAAGAAATGAACTCTATTTTCAGTGGTGCAAAATCTATTAACTATGTTTACAATAAATAATATGATAAGCAAATTACTGATTCTTCCTGTTTCTTACTGGGAAGAATAATATGAATCTGTTTTATTTAATATGTCATTATATTTAAATCTTTCAGTTTAATTGAAGTCCATATCTGGAAATATGAACAAAAGGATAATGAAGTCCTTTTGGAAACTAACAAGAATATTTATTTATTTATTTATTTTTAGAGACAGAGTCTCACTTTGTCAGCCTTGGTAGAGTACCGTGACATCACAGCTCACAGCAACCTCCAACTCCTGGGCTTAGGTGATTCTCTTGCCTCAGCCTCCTGAGTAGCTGTGACTACAGGCACCTACCACAATGCCTGGCTATTTTTTGTTGCAGTTTGGCCAGGGCTGGGTTCGAACTTGCCACCCTTGGCATATGGGGCTGGCATTCTACCAACTGAGCCACAGGCACCTTCCCTAACAAGAATATTTCAAAAATTTATCCCACTAGCAAGTATAATAAACTTAAAATGTTAATTATGTATGTGTGTATATATATATATATATTTTTTTTGAGATGGAGTCTCACTTTGTTGCCTTCAGTAGAGTGCTGTGGCTTCACAGCTCACAGCAACCTACAACTCTTGGGCTTAAGTGATTCTCTTGCCTCAGCCTCCTGAGTA